ATAAGGTATATGTCATATGAAACAGACGATACTTGTGACAGGTCAACACTCTTCATGCAGTTCTAAAAGGCTGTTTTATGACTGGCCATTAAATATAATCTCTGGACTTTACATGACACAGTACATTACATTTAACAAGTAATTGTGTCCTATCTATGATATTGCTTGAGTATATATCATATACATAATTATTATTGTATGTTCACTAATCAGTAGATATATTGCCGGTGTGTTAATGTCTTAAGGTATTTCATACAGGCTCATGTCAGTGTATATAGTATGTAATGGGCTCATAATTATAACTTTTCAAAACGATTTTTATTGAGGAAGTTACCTTTCAGACAAAATCAACTATATTTTCGACAAATAATTCCTGCAAAGGTCATTATTGACATTGTTCTTGACATCAGTATACCAAGCAACTTCCATATATTTTTCATTTTGAGAAAAAGTTATGAGCCCATCACATACTGTATACACTGACATGAGCCTGTATGATTTCCCAGCTGGCTAAGGAAGAAACTTTGATTTGCTGAGTTGTAAACTTAAATTTAACATGAAAGAGAAGATCTAGAGTGTGCTTTCACCAGGGATTGAACCCATGACCCCAGATTCCCAGTCTGTTGCTTAACTGATCGAGCTAAATGGCAATTCCCTTAGCTTAGTGCAAAGCTATAGAGAGCATCCATATCCTATGTACAATTAAAACCTGTCACACTACTCCCTCCTTTTTGAAGGTGTTTGTCTTCGAACACAATAACAACCCATGGCCAGGTTCTAATCTATACACCAGAGATTAAAGCCACGACAAATGCTTCCCAGTCCATCGCTCTACCAATTGAGCTCAAGTGACCATAATCCTTGTAATGTACAAATAAAATCTGCCACATAAGTATTTCGGTGCATTTCCAATAACCAGCCAAAATTCTGGCAACCTGATTCGTAAAAATTGGAAGTAATTCTCTTTCTTGATGTGAATGCAAAGTATAAGACAATATTTAAACAAGAGGCCCAGGGGGCCTGTATCGCTCACTTGGTTATTTAAGCAATCATGGCACAATATTTACATTTGCTCTGTTATGCCAATTTGTAACCACTTCAGACATGTAGGGTAAGAACTTGGAAGCGTAACTATGGAGACTTTATAATTCATAAAGAATTAAGGTTGTTACTACTACTAGCACATTAGTTGGGTTGGAGATAAAAAGTATGTTGTCGAATTGTCTATATAAACAATACCAAACTTTACCCCCTTCCCAAAGGCAAACGAAGGACCTGGGGCACATGAACATCACAAAGTATATAAACCACTCGAAGGCCTTTACAACTATGGAAAGTATTTGATACTAGCATTTCTGGAACTGCAGAAGAAGATTTTTGAAATTCGCCTCCTTTTTCACCCCAAACCCAGCCCCCTAGCTAGGGGGGGCAGGCTCACACAATTTATACCAGCAGACCCTCCTCCCCTAATAAGTATTTCTCTCAAATATGAACAAATTATTTACAAATCAATGGAAGATATGGCCTGTCATGTCTATTTCCTATATAAACTATACTAAATTTTACCCCCTCCTCAGGGGCAAACGGGGGCCCTGGGAGACATGAAAATCACAAATTGTATAAACCACCCAAATTCCTTTACAGCTATGGGTATAGTATTTGATCCTAGCATTTCTAAAGAAGAAGATTTTTAAAATTTTCCCAAATTACCCCCCCCCCCCCTTTTTGCCCCTTACTCAGCCCCCTAGGGGGGCAGGCTCACAAAATTTATACCAGCAGACCATCCTCTCCTAATAAGTACTTCTCTTAAATATTAACAAATTATTTTCAAACAATGGAAGATATGGCCTGTCATGTCTATTTCCTATATAAACAATACTAAATTTCACCCCCTCCTCAGGGGCAAACGGAGGCCCTGGGAGACATAAAAATCACAAATTTTATAAACCACCCAAATGCTATTACAGCTATGGGTAGTATTTTCGATCCTAGAATTTTTATAACTGAAGAACAAGATTTTTGAAATTTCACCCCCCTTTTCGGCCCCTTACTCAGCCCCCTAGGGGGTCAGGCTCATAACGTTTTTACCTGCAGACCCCCTTCACCTTCACCTAACAAGTAATTCTGTCAAATATAAACAACTTCCGTTCAAAACAATGGAAGATATGGCCTATTATGTTTATTTCCTATATAAACTATACTAAACTTCACCTCCTCCCCAGGAACAAGGGGGGGGGGGGGGGGGGGGGGGGGGGGGGGGGCTAGGAGACATGAAATCACAATTTTTATAAACAACCCAAAGGCCTCTACAACTATGAGTAGTATTTGGTTTTAGCAATTCTGGAAATGGAGAAGATTTTTTATTTTTTTTCTAAATTTTCCCCTTTTTGGCCCTTAACTAAACCCCCTAGGGGGCCACACCCTTATCTCATAAATCCATTGAGCCCCTGGTCCCAAGGATGCTTCATATCAAATTTAGTTAAAATCCAATCAGTCGTTCAGGAGATAAAGGCTTTTAAAGGGAAATGTTGATGCCGGATGACGGCTGGACGACGGCCGCCGCGGTACGGCACAAGCTCACTTGCCCTTCGGGCAGGTGAGCTAAAAATATAACATCAAGCTCTGCTTGGAAAAGTTTACTGCAAACACGAGGCTTGCTGAGTGTTGGCAACGTAAGAATCTAAGCTCTCCAAGGGTTGAGTTTTCCCATTTCACCTAAGGGATTGAACCCTGTTATATGCCTTAAGCAATGTTGACATTACCGTGATAATACAGACTCGATCAATACACTATTGACGTGACATTAATGAATTGTTGATGTGATGTCATACAATTGTATTGACTGGGGTCAATCATCCGTCTTAACCCTAGGGAAGAAACATGGACTTTCTGATAGACTCTAGCTGGCAACTAAGACGAAGGAGAGGAAGGATATCAAGTTTAACTTAAGTGTTTCGGCAAAATCTCCTGTTTAGATACTAAACAAGAGGCCCAAGGGCCTTAGCGGTCACCTGAGTTATATCATAGGTACTGGTAGCTTTATTTTATTGTTTAGATGTGATGTGGAAATCAGCATGTAAACTAAGTGAAATACAATACTTGTCATGTCATCAATGGATAAGAATTTGAAAATATTGGTAAATGTTCCCTTTGGGGCCCCGCCCTAGCCCCTGGGGATGGGGCAGGAATCCTAATTTTACAAAGTAAAACTCTCATTTACCCAAGATGATTCTGACTAAGTTTGAGCAATTTTCTGCTGAAAATGGATAAAATATATACCGAAAAGTGTTATTTCCCTATATAAACTATATTAAACGTTAACCCCTCCCCAAGGGAGAACGGATAGCTCGGGGTCCTGATATTTTCAATTTAAATAAAGCCCCTGATGATCTTTCTTTCCACGTAAAGAAAATCACTGTAGTACCTCTGAGTCTGGAGAAGAAGATTTTTGAAATATTGATTAATTTTCCCTTTGGGGCCCCGCCCTGGCCCCAGGGGTCGGGGTAGGAATCTCAATTTTACAATTTGAAACCATCTACCTCCAAGGATAATTCTCACCAAGTAAAAATAATTTCCTACAGAAAGTTGTCAAAATATACCCAAAAGTGTTATTTCCCTATATAAACTATAGTAAACTTTACCCCCTCCCCAAGGGAGAACGGATAGCTCGGGGGTCCTGAAATTTACAATTTAAGTAAAGCCCCTGAAGATCTTTCTTTCCACGTAAAGAAAATCACTGTAGTACTCTGAGGCTGGAGGAGAAGATTTTTGAAATATTGATTAATTTTACCTTTGGGGCCCCGCCCTGGCTCCAGGGGTCGGGGTAGGAATCTCAATTTTACAATTTTGAAGCCTCATCTTCCAAGGATGATTCTGACCAAGTTTGAAAAAAATCCATCCACTGGTTCTTGAGAAGAAGTTGAAAATGTAAAAGTTTACGCACGACGCACGACGGACGACGGACGACGACGGACGAAAAGCGATTAGAATAGGTCACTTGAGTAAAGCTCAGGTGACCTAAAAATCTTCCCTTCTGTTTGAAGTTCCCCTAGAAGCACTTCTAAAAAAAAGCCAAGCAATGCTTAAAGATACAACACTGTGTTAACCACTACAAAATAATCAATGAGCATCTGACATGTGGGTGGTAGTAATTCCTTTAAGCCTTTATCTGGATTTGAAAGTAACTACACCTGTGTGTAAGAAGTATACACCTCTGTCACGGACCGTTGTCATAGATAAAGACGCATTACAAGTATGACTTCATAATAGCTGTAATGGTTACAGTAAACATATGTTTCTTTGTCCGATATAACTGATGTAAGATAAGAGCACAAACACTAACATGAACAAAATATATTATCCAGTTCTTAAAGCTCACAGTGCAAGTCAAACAAACTTTCACAAGATGAAAAGAAAATCTGGTTTTGAGATGTTCCCCAGTGACTATTTCTTCCAGCTATAGTTTTTAAGGAAGCGTTAAAACGTTTAATTTGTGCTTGCTTGGTAATGATAATGGGACTTCCAGGATATAGAAAGTGCATTATCTGTCAAACCAGTTATCATTCTACCAATATACTGATGTCTTTTAATTCAATACATTGCACACCCTGATCAGCAACCGCAAATTGTAATATGGACGACACACGACGACTGATGAAACATGATCGCAATAGGTCACTTGAGTTTTGGGCTCAGATGACTTAAAAAAATTGATGTAAATGATTGAAAATGATAATGTGATATTTTCCTTTCCCAGTGCAGGGTATCTGGTGCAGTATAGGGGTAGGTGGTCATGATCATCAGATGATATTTCTCTATCTCCTACAATGTATTGAATGAGATTTTTTTTTAAAAATGCCAAGTAACTAAACCGTGTTTCATTTTTGTTTCCAGGTCTATGGGCTTCAAGAAATGGAAAGGCATTAGGAGAACCACAGAAAGAGACAAACAAAAGTATTTGAGTGTACAAGCATTTTAGTTTCACTTGAATTGGAAGCGTTACACTTGACATAAACCAAGAGTTATTATGAGTCTCAATATAGGAAAAACTGCTAAAGACCACCACTTGGTGAACTCCTCGCCTCCTGTCAGTCGCAATGACTCCTCCACTCCAGAATCCTCAGGTAAGGAGAGCAGAGAGGTCAGTGGAGCAGATACATTGATTGACAGCAGTAGTGATCCAAGTAAGATATCTGTTTTACAAGGTCATCAGGCTTTTCCCTTACAAGGTCATACAGCTGATCCCTGGCCAACTACTTCCCCTATACAGCAGCAAGGGCTAGCCAATAAGAAAGTTGCCAAACCTGTACACAATGTTAATGGAGGTCCACAGCACCCGAGACGCACAGAAAATGAAAACGCACGACACGCTTCAGAAGCTAAAGAAAGCACTGGTAAACGCCCAAGGGAGGACAGAGATGGTCATCCCCCTCCAAAGAAGAATTATCCAGCAAACAACAACTTTAAACCAGCTGCCCATTCCGTTACCAGTATCGAAGATGGGGAGGATGTTGCTGGGTATGACTCCAACAAGGAGAATTCAATGGACATGTTCCCGCAGTTGGAAAGTGGACCTCGTGAATTACTGTATGAGGTTAACTTCATCAAGGAGAACACGATGGACATGTCCCTATTTTACAGTGGACCTGATGAACTACTGTATCAACAAAAGAATTCTGGTATACAAAGCAGGACCTCCCATCCTAGACGTCCTTTAATTGTGAGTGGGAAACACAGCTGGCATTTACCAAAAGAAGGTAAATTACAAACACAGACGTTTACTAGTTTGCTTGTACATTTTTTTATGGAATTATATGTAGTGATATTAAGGTAACCTTCGCATTGATTGAGGCTTGAATACCTTGGCAAAGATGTGTCAAGAGTGTCATGCATAAAATACACTGTCTATTCTTATATACTGAATACATGAGTATTTTCGCCACAGTTTACCTTTTGCCTTTTTCGCCCTTCATATAATGAGGGCAATTTTACCACTACTTTGAAAATAAGTACATAACATATATACTTACCTATTAAGGGCAAAATTTTAAATACTAAAATGGTTTCTCCCCGTGAACGGCAAACATTAGACTGGGCAAAAGTGTACTGGTATACAGTAGTCGATTAGGGAAACCAATTATGATATATTACTGAAAGTGTGAGTTATCTTTTCATGTATAATTACAGGTATATCAACAACCATCTGGCACAGGAAAGATAAAGTCATGACAGTCAAGGCAGATGTCACTATCTTCAGATTTAGTAAGCTACTGAAGAATCCCGCCTTAATAAAATATGTAAGTATGATGCTATTCTTTATGCTCTTGTTATACTGTATGTAAAAGGTATCAGTGACCTGTCTATAGCGTACTCACTACAATGATAATCAGTCTAAATTTCTTATATAGTGTTCATGTTATAACTATCTGATGTGTTAATCTCTTATTTGTCAAGGAAATGATCACAAGTTGGTTTGATATTTGTTGATATTTGTATTTGACATTTATCCAACTTTTAAGTATTTCACTGATGAAAAATTTATGAAATTAATAAATATATTAAGTAACATAGACTCAAAAACATTTCAAAAAGAAATGATTTGATAAACCTTCATTATTTTCCCTTATAACTTTCAGAATTGCCACCTTAATTATGTGGGGAAAAATACATTGACATGTTATAATTAACATATAATTTTATGTTTCTTGATCCTTTTTATTCTCCATAGTTTTCTTTCTGGTACTACTTTTAGTAAATAAAAAAATAAGAATTTGTTTGTTCGAAGGAAAATTGAAAATCTTATTATTAATATAAAGTGTTGTATTTTTCTTTTTATGAAATTTCGAAGTTTGACTCAGGCATGACTGTAAAACTCCTTGGAAATGAGACCAAATCTCAGCTCCAAATATACAGCTAGAAAAGTCTTGGGGCCCATATTCATAAAAATGTTCTCATGCCCTAACTCAGATTCTGTGTTGTAAGCTCAAAATTCTAATGTTTCCATAATAGATAATTGTACAGTACTTTTTGCGGCTGATCGAGTGCTATTCTTTTTGCAGAATGATTCATTCGCAAATTCAACATGGCAGCAAAAATCACAAGCTTGCGGTAGCATTTTTATATTTAGTAGGAGTCTGAAAACAAAGAGTAGTGGTTTAAAAGATCGGAATATTGTTGCTCAGTAAATATTATACCTGAGGCCTGGACATACCAGTATAAAACAATGTTCTGGTCACATTTTTCATGACAGTCTTAACAACTAAAAGGCATGTCCTCAATGTGACATTAGAATACTTCACATCAGACATGCAGTTACAGTACTCAAATTTCACATTTTTTCAGTGATTTTGAGGAATTTTGGACAGTTTTGAATCTAAAAATGTTTTCCGTGTGTACATTTTCCATGTGCAGAATTTTTTCTTTGAATGTAGTATACATGTAGCGGTATATTTTCCTGTAAGTTAAAAGATAATGGATGCATGGAGCACAGAATTCCTACTCAGGCATGAGAATGGTTTCATGAATATGGGCCTGACCTTTAATCTATCATAGCAATGTCAATATTTGTATCATTTTCATCATCCTCCACAGGTAGAACATCTGAAGGGGACCTATCCAGGATTTCAGGGATACTACCTACGTGACAGGGTGACAAACAGATGTATCTTTGATATGTGCAAAGATTGCGACCTTGACCTTGTTACTATTCGAGATGACTAGTTTAGGTCATGTGATACAGTTACAGTACTTAAGTGTGAGCAGATACCTAGAGTGCTCAGATAATTTTGTTTTGTGGTCGTATGTGTTTTACACTTCACCATTCCAAATAATGGTATGCAAGAATGACGGTACATTAACATTGATAAAAATCTTTGTACAGAATTTAGCAATGAGTGTGAAATCAACAAATAGACTAAAGAATTGTGTGGTATGATAATTGTTGTCTCCAGTTATCATTATGTTAGCCCAATAACTTTCCAGTCTTCCTGTATGATGTCTTATAGAGGACACAAAACATGCAGCTTTTAAGTGAAGCCTCTCAACTCAATGAATCAAGGAGATCGACAAATTCTATCACATGAATCTGTATGTTAAGCAAGACTAATTTACCAGTGTCCCAGTTTTCTACACTTAAGCGTAACCATAGGGCAACACTTCTGGGAATTGACAATGTCATTGAAATGCTGACATTTTGCCTTCAGAGGAGATCACATGCTTCGTGTGTAACGGTGAGTTACATGTTATAATTACTACTCAACAAATGAATGGACAGATAATGGCTCACTTGTGCATGTGACCCCTATCGGTGAAATTTTGTTGAAGGAGGAGAGGAGGAGGACCTTGATAACGCGTGTAAGGCCATCGAGGACAGCTATCTTCTATCAGAAGGAGTCCACGTATTTATACAGATACAGACTCATTCACAAAAGCCCTTGACTGTGGGTGTTTTGCAGACAGTGGGTGTTTTGCAGACTGTGGGTGTTACGTACACTCACTTTATCGGTGATTTTATTTCTATCCGCATTACAGAAAGAAGAATCGCTACGTGAAGTTAGACTGTTCAAAATAGTATCAGACACATTACAGACCACCCAATGACCATCTGCTGCCAGCTTGTTACATTAAAGGAAAAATCCAAACCCAGTGTGTGGCTCTGTGTTACTACTGATAATGCAGTGAAGGATCCTTGAGATACTTCATACATTGGTGATCAGACAGTGTAACATTTCAGGACACATCATACTGAGCAGCGTCATACTGAGGAGCACGTCAGGTTAAGTAGGAACGCACCTCTTGGTGGGTTATATTTATAAAGACTAAAGATGTATTGGCCACTCAGTCCGATGGAAAGAGGTTCACATCTTTGACTTATTGCAACAGATTTTTTTTTCTCAATGATGGTTGTATTACAACAGAAAATAGTGATATGTGCTGGTTCGCAGGCTTGTGTTTTAAAAGCGTCAACTAAAATCAATCTGGGTAAAATGCTTTTTTCATCGTCTTTTGAATCAACACTTAAATTTCTTAACTCAATGTTACACAAAAGGTAGCTATGACACTACAAAGTTGGTCAAACAAGCAACTTTGATGTCCCAAAGAGGGTGCAAAAATACACTTTCCCTGAAAAAATATTTTGATAGACTTTCTTCCGTTACAACAAAAAACAGTTCTGTTGTAGTTAGGTTGAAGTGAACAGTCCGCAGATTGACTGGACCCGATATGCAAAGCAGTAGTATTTTTTTAAGGACTCGTTGTATTTGGATTGAACTTCAGTGTGTGAATTTCCACTTGACAAATTTTCCTGACAACCTTGTCAATAAAAGTTGTGCAGAATTAGCTTTTTCATTGAACAAGGTTAGGAAAAGAATCTGCTTAAGCTGAATAATAAATATATATTTTGTATTCAACTATTTCAGTTTGGACTTAATCAAACCCTACAAACTACAACAGGCATGTAACCAAGAATAATGACTTACTTTGAAAGAAATTTATAAGCATCATCCATAATAAAATAAGAGGCCTAATGGGCCTGTACAGTTCTCCTGTGGTTTTTTGTGGTTTTTATTCAAAATTCCATTGCAGAAAGCATTAAGTGCTGTTGGTTTGACAGTACAAATTGGAAGACAGTAGCACACACATATCTGATCATGCATCTAGACAAATCAATGTTTCGATCCTTTCAAACAGATCTTAGTGGTCATAGATTAAAAACAAGGTTACCGCGAGCGGTATATAATACGCCCGTCACACATTGAATGAGCAGTTGTTTGTATGATTGAAATATATGAAGTAATTGTGAGTAATTGATATTAAAAGAGAAATCATTCAACATAACTGGTAGATCAATGAGTGCAATACAACATCATGGAACGCATGCATCGCATTAATGAAACCAAGGGTAATAACTCCAGTAATTGTGGTCGGATAATGGCGGTTATCGAACTTGTCCGTGGTTTCATGGTAATTAACCTTGTTGTGAAGTTTGAAGTTAATCCGTTAATAATTACTCGAGATATCGAGCGGACACTGTTTCGGCAAGTCCATAAAGGGGCATAACTCCACAAATTATGGTCGGATAATGGCGGTTATCAAACTTGTCCGAGGTTTCATGGTAATTAACCTTGTTGTGAAGTTTGAAGTTAATCCGTTAGTGTCCGCTCGATATCTCGAGTAATTATTGTTTCGGCAAGT